AAAAAAAAAAAAAAAAAAGTTTACACATTTTAGATTCTTATGGTTTTATTTGATTAAGTTTTATGTTTTCTTTTCTTCTTCTGATTAGAAGTTGTGTACCTGAACTGATGGTACGCCCTCCCATGGCCTGCTGAGCGTGCAAAGCTCCCACATGATAACGCCAAGGCTGAAAATATCACACTTCTCAGTGAAGGGCTCGTTTCGGATGAGTTCAGGTGCCATCCATTCAGGTGTACCGGCCGATGATGTGTCTTTCATTGGTCTGCTCGTCAGTACCCGCGAAAGCCCGAAATCACATATCTTCACTGTCCAGTGCTTGTTCACCAGGCAATTCGCGCTCTTCAGATCACGGTGCACGATATTCATCCGATGGATGCTCATTAGTCCCCTACAGTGATTATTATCCCAAACAATAAAAATTTGAGCAGTTAAGCCTAATAACTTAAGTTAGCTTATCGGAGGAGATGACTTTGTCGTACAGGAGTGCAGTAAGAGCCCTCCTTTAGCACAAACTTTCGAAAAGAAAAAAATAAAAATAGAAATCATATATTCAGTTTGGCAAAATGCTGGCACCCATTCACTTATTATTCATGAGTATATGAAGAAACTAAAAATCTCCAAGTTATCTAAGCATTAAAACTCATATTTTAATCAGGGTCGGTATCAGCAATCAGTCTGACTGAATTCAAAAATGAAATGTTACTTAAAACCCTAAACAGAAAGCACGTGTCAGGTTCATCGTCCAAAATTTCCATCCTACAGATTCCTTATCTTTTCTGATTTCCTAAATTTCTAAACAACAGAAAAGAATTATCAGAATCTTGAAATTCAGCAATGAGCACCTGCATATATCACAAAGCATTTTGAGTCTCCTTTGCCAGCTAAACTTCTTTTTCAACCCACTTCCGTGGATCAAGAAATATAGTGATCCCATCTCCATATATTCAGTAACTAACGAGAGGCGAGGAGGAGTCGTACAAGCTCCAAGGAATAATATAACTGCTTGAAAAGAGAGCATGTGATAAGAGGGACAATAAAACTGTATAATAAAACAAAGTGAAATAATAGAAAGTAGTAGTCATTACCATTTGGGTGACGAGTGCGGCTGCAGGAAGGGAAAAAAAATTATTTTAGTAAATAAAAAAAGTTACTATCTTCTCAATAGAAATGAATGCAGAATTACCTCAAGATTGATATTTCATTACAAAAGTCTTCAATATTCTCGACTGTGAGATCCTGTTCCAAGAACAATTTAATAGCAACCTCTAATCCATTCCAAGTGCCACGGAAAACTTCCCCAAAGAATCCTAAATATTAAGAAATGATCGCATTTAACAAGGATGCAGAGGTACATATAATATATCACATGGTGACATCAATTTCAGTTAGGATCTCTCTTTGTGGAAAGTAGAAATTTTAAACGAAATTGACTCAAGTTCGGCCAATCACTCAAAGTATTATGGATATCTAACAATTTAAACAAAATTCCACTACAAATCATGCTTCACAGTTGACAGAAAAACCCACCATAACTTACCGATTCCCACGCGAGTTCCGATGGTTATCTCGGAAAAATCAATGTTCCATTCTGAGAAGGGTAACAATGGCTTGTTCACAAACTTTGATGATTCAAGGACTTTGCTGAATGTTTCCATCATATCAGGACTCACAAAAGTTCCTGAAGCATCATCCCCAAGAGAAGTTTGATGGGAACAATGTTGAGGAGATGAAGGCAATGAGATTGCCTTGTGTGGATTTATTTGTTTCGACGGAAAATTATACAACAACGGTTTCTGACCATATATTCCATCACTGCCACCTGGACTTTGCCCCGACACCTGCAAAAGAGAAAATTTAACCCAATAAACTTGATCAATTTTTAGGGAGATCCATGACAAGGATACAAGACACGCGGTCTAATAATAATAATAATAATAATAATAATAACAGAAAATCAAAGTGAAGATAGTCTAAATGACAATAAAAAAAATAATCTTAGGATTGTTCGAACCACGGTCTATCACCTATATTTTGACAGGTATGTAATTTCCAAGAGTAAAATACATAGACCCGTCATGGTAACACTATTGCACAGAGAATAAAATGGAAAGCTGTTGTCTCATATAAGAAACTCTTCAGTGCAAATTTTGAAGCGGAAGAAAAAGGATCAAGTAAATATGGAAATAAAAGCAAAAATTCATTCTGGCATGTAAAAAGATTTAACTCATTAAACCATGACCAACAATAATTGACTGAAGCATACGCTTTCTCGGACATCTGAATTGTCATCCTTCCCACTAGTGGAACTAAGAGCCAAATTTACTTGTTCTTCGGGGAGACAGTTTTTCTTGAGAGTTTCACTCATCCTCCGAACAGCCCTGAATTAATTTTTCAAGGACCAAGTTATAATATCGCCACAGAAATATGCATGAGAACTGAAGGCTGCAACTACCAAAATACTCGGTGAAAATATTTCCTTTGCCCACACTAAATTAGGTTTACTGCACCTTGCTTTGTCATATGATTCATGTGAATTCTAATAGGACTGGTCCCACACTTACGACGAATAAATTTTTTGGTCATGAAATAAGCACATATACTGCAGATAATATTGCATAAAAACAGGAAAAAACAAATGATTTGTCATCCATGCACAATAGAGCAAACAAACATTTTGATAATTTGAAAAAGGACTAAATAAAATAATTCCTTGCCATATTATATGAACACATGAAATGAATAAAGAGTTCCTCCTATGAACATTGCAAACAAGAGAGATTGAACCACCTTACGGTGTCATCCCCAATCTCGGGAATCATGCTAATACAGCGCCGTCTTCTCCTACGAGCTTCTACAGGAGATGCACCAGCGGACCTTCATATAAAAGTTAATTATAACATGAAAAAAACTTTTTTTCCTAAAACAAAAGAGATCAAAAGATATAACTAACAGCTAAGTAAAATAAAAAGGGAATGGTCAATTTAAAACAATCTCTGCATCCGGCATCAGTGGATTATACTTTTTTTTTTGTGCTAAATTATTCGGAGCTAAAAGAATAAAAAATTGATTTCCAAATGTTTTGTTGCGGAGAAATTTGACGAGAGAGGTAAATATGGGTTCTAAAAGAAAGATGTCTTGTCCTGTTTATTTGGGTTCTAACTGAAAGATGTCTTGTCCTGTTTATTTGGGTTCTAACTGAAAGATGTCTTGTCCTGTTTATTTTTACTCTAATCTCTTTTTTCTTCGACAAATACAAAGAACCAAACAAAATACTATCTTCATCATGAATGCAAAAACCATATTTTCTAGTGCGCACGTCAATAACACTCATTTGTGATGCTAACAATGCCTTCATCAATTTAAACAATTCTAATAATTTAACGTGGTATCAACAAATAGAATCATTGTTAATACTGTACATCGACACCCATTATAAATAAATAGACAACCCTAAAATTCCTCTCTTTATTGATGAACTTTATTTAAAATTACATTAAATATCACGGAGCACATAAAAGATGTCATTAATACTAACATACAGCAAAGTGATTTTGTGGCTTAAATTAACATGGCATATAGAAAATGCTGAAGACTAGTAATAGGAAGCTGAAACCTTGATGCATTAATATCATTGCTGTACTCTCGAAATGAATGCCTACGACCTCCAAGCAAAGATCTCCCATGTCCACGGAAGAAAGGATGTTCTGGACTGGAAAGGATGAAAATGAAAATCAAAATGGAAAGTTTATGGATAATCTTGCAGAAAACTTCAAGATATAAGCTCAATCACAGA